ATTGCTTAAACAAGTATTTCTCTGGATTCACACAGAAGTAGTTGTCCTTGAATCAACTCTGAATATTCAGGCAACAGCTTAATATAAGGCCAAGCTCCATATCAAGAAATCTTTAAATATATCACTACGATACCTCTAGGAGATTAGGCATGATGCTGAAATATGGCAGGGACATTGCAGAAGCTTGGCATCTGATATCACCAGCTATTCAAATTGCCTAAACCTTGTCATAAGAGAGTCTTCTACTCATAACTCTTACGCACATTTACAACTTAAAATTTCTCTGGAAAGTCAACTCCAACCAGCCTTGACTAGGCACTGAATAAATGTTAACTATGGTTTATTAAGGGTTCATTCAGTGGAGTGATTCTCAAATCTGCAAGAAAGAATCACCTGTCTTTACTCCAAACCGATTTCATCAGGATTTCTAGGGGTGGGGCCTAAGCCTCAGTATATTTTTTAGAAGTTATCAGGTAATTCTAATATGCAGTTGAGGTTACAAACCAATGACTATATCCTAAGCAAGAATAGTAATGAAATCTAAATAGTAATGATGTATGATAACTACATAGGTACTGAAATAATCAATTACTTGTGTTTCCTTGAAGAAACGAAATCAAGAAAATGAAATCATCTTATGCATGCTTGATGATATACCTCTTAGACTTCTCCATCTGGAAGAAGGATACATACACTTGACCAGAGCCTAGGCCCTAACTATAGAGGCAATGATGTACTGGGTTTTGGATGGGGGAAACAGTGAGGAAGTAGAGAGCGCTAATCCCTCCAATTCCTGCTTCCAAAACTAAGTTCCAGATAACTATATACTCTGTATCCGAGAAGTGGGTGGCCATCTGCAAGTCCATGGACAATTATGCTGGCTATATTCTAACAGGTCACAGTCACTTGTTTTGAGATAGGTCAAAAATAACTCTAGCATTTAAGATGGAGAGTGAGTTAGTAAAGCAGATTCATGTCACTCTTGTCCATAATTCCATGATTAGTTCACATTTGGGCTGAGATGTCCCAGCACAGGTCATCTGCTAGTAGTGTGGGCAAGTTTCTAATTCAGTGAGAACCCCAAAGAGGGGTGCTGTGATGATCATTCTCCTAGTGAACTAGATATGGTAAAGTAATAGCATCTATGCTCTATCATTCTAGGGTGACCTGACCAGGATTTCTTGGTACACGATTTAGAGAATATTGCTATTCTAATCGACAGTGTTGAAAGAAAGAACTCATCTCCTCATACATCCTTTGTGCCTCTCATTGATTTCTTATAGGGAACACCCAAAGAGCATGTAGGTTAGTTACTTTCCTTGTTGTACAGGAGATCAGAAATGACAGTGGCTCAGCTTGCCGGAGAAACAAGTATCCTGGAGCACAACAACATCATTAACCTAGACCATATAACCTGTTGGTTTTAGTACTGTCAGCAAGAGGATGTACTAGACAATGGAAGAGGCTGTGAATATGCCCAGTACAAACCTCAAGGGCAGTCCACATTTTGTGATAGAAGTGTCTAATTCCTTACCCAATTTCAATTCCTTTTTCTTCATTACCCATGAACCTCCAGTTCTGGCCCGTGAGACTTATGCTGGGGGTTTCTAGAAAAGATGCTTCCATGGTACATGTACCACATCTTTCTACCTCCCTGTTTTCCTTTTCCCTGTGTCCTAAATTTGAACGTGACACCTACAACTAGAGCAGCCATTTTGGACTGTGAATAAATGGCACTTTGAAGAAAAAGTACATTGAATTGCAGAGACTTTGTTCCTGATGTCTTCTAATGGTACAAATAACATATGGAATGCCTGTATTCAGGTTAATCATTACAGAAAAAAAAAAAAAGCAAACAAATCCACAACCTTCCAATTTAATTTAGCCACTATTTTCTTGGTTGTAAAGGTAAAGTACCAATTAGGTCTATTATGAGGGTATGTTTATGAGGTGAAGCTGTCAGCATAGAAAATAATTACTCAAAACACTAGGGAAAATATCATAAACAAATTCAGAGAGTTAAGTCAGTCAATGAAGCAGTGGTACAACTGAAAATGCATATAAGAAACAAAAAGATGAAACAGGCAAGGAAAATGACATTACAGACAAGTCACAGCATGACTGATATGCAATTCACATATTAAATACCTCCTCCTGCAATGTTCTTCTTGTGTATGTCTTTGTGTGCCTCTCTGGATCAGGAACATATTTTTCAAGACAGCAAGTTGCAACGGGTAGGCAGGGTTAATATACAAGTAGGTATCATATATAAGAGACATAGCAGAGAAATTAAGATATGTTGTCTTTCAGATAAGGTTGTCAAAAAGAATTAGAAAAATAATATGACAACAGCAATATTATTTTACACTCATAAGAAAAACAATTGTGAAAATATGAGCTCAGAAGATGCACATTACTTTTAAATAAAATGTATTCGATCCTCTCGAAAAAACAAACCTGAGTCAGTGGAAAATCAAGACTTTTTTTTGAAAGATGGTAACCCAAGGTTTTGATGCCAATATAAATATAAAACCAATACTTTCCACAAATGGAATACGGTGGTTTGGATTGTTAATACACTTCGTGCCATCCAAAGTGTTCAAAACATGTGCTATGTTCTGTAGAGGAGATTCAAGAAAGACAAGCACGGTTGTTGCAGGTGATTTTGAAGTGCAGCATTTTCTAATGGTCTAATCCTAGCAGTGCTTCTATGGGTATGAATAAAAGTAGATATGATATGAACTTCTTATCTAGAATAAGCAAACGCATTTTCTAACCCCCTCCATGAGAGTCATCTAAAAGCACTGAACATATCAGATATACTGAGTTATTGTCAAATGTACCACTTTTCTTTAAAATTGCAGCTGTTTTTCTCTTCATCAGTGACCCGCACAGTGCCTTCTTCGTAGCAGTCACTTAATAATGCTTAGGAAATTGAATTGTCAATGCTTTTGTTTGTTCTTATGGTTTATGGCAGTAGCTTTAATTAACCAATATTTGCATTTCTCTGCTGATTTTTAGAATATCCAATGACTTGTGATAGAAAATACATCTATTCATTAGTAGTAGAGATTTGCCACTTTTTGCTCTTCATTTCCATTTCCTCTTAATAAAAGGGCTCTGAATTTCATTCAAATATTTACCCCTCAACCATGCAGACTTGGATCTTTGGGGACAATCCAACCTCCAGGTCTTGGTTGACTTAAGCTAGTCAACATATCTCAAATTTCTGGCCATGGTCAGTCACTAAAGTGTGGACACATGATCTAAATCAGGCCAATGAAATGTAAGATGTTGTCTGGGGGATTCGAATAGAGAATAGATTATATACACATGCAGGTTCTGAAACTTCTAAAGGAACTTCTGCCTCCAAGAGGGAAGTGATACATGGAGGTGGACAGAGCTGAGAGAACTACAGACAAATTAAGCCTTGATGGTGATGCTGTGTACCTAGATATTCGAGATGAAGAGCCAGTTTGGTTTGGGGATTCTTTCTGAGCAACCAGAAGCATCCTAGCAGATACAGATGTTCAAATACAAAGGCTGTATGGAAAACCTTTGAGTAACTTTTCATTTTTATTGATCTCAACTCAGTTTTTCTTCCACCTCCTTTTCTGAACATTCTTCCCAACTAAGCCCTGTTTTGCAAGTGTCCATATCTTTCCTTCACATGATTTTCTCTTCTTGAGAGGCCTTTGTCGTCTCCCTTTTATCACTCAGCAAATATCTGTTCTTTTTCAATCCCTGATGATGCCTTTGTTGGCTCCTCAGTGGTATAGAAAATCTTTTTGGCATCTATCATAGCACATACTTTCAGGTATTGCATTATTTGTTTATTTATGTGTCTGCCTTTGTTATTGTTGTTTTTGAGATTGCAGTTTAGTTTATGATGCCTAAACTCAACTGAGCCTCTAGTTGGTATGTTACGAACAAAAGAATAAATGAACGTACTTTAGTTCTTAATCCTTGAAAGCAAGATGTCAGGTTGAGACAAGTAGCTAAATAATTACAAAGAAACATTTACTTTTCTTTCGACTCTTCAACAAAATTGGACATCTTTCCCATCAGTAAATCAATTTGTGATCTTTTTCTTAAGAGAAACAGCACTTTTTCAGCAATATAGGATAAACACACTAAAAAAAAATTGGTAGACTTCTCAAAGAAGTTTAATGTTTAAAAAAAAAGTGCCAATATTTTGTCTACGTGCATGAGCATCTCAGGATTTAATTGTTTTAAATTCCAGGAGGGTAATGATGTATAAACATTTTACAAATCTGAGCTCAGAAAACAATGATTTGAATAATCTGTGCTTTAATGGAAAAATGAAACATTAATTTGTTTAGTTTCTCATACAACATGTTTACTAAACATTTCAGTGTCAATAATTTTTTAAGATTGTAACATTTAACCTTGTATTGGAGCTAATACCAATTCTAGCCATGGGAGTATGTTCTGGACTTTTTGAACAATTTTGAGTAAAATGAATGGCATTGTCTTCAAATTGTACTTGGAGCAAAGACAAAGAAACATCAGCTCATTCTTTCCAACTAATGGAACATTTAATGATGCAATTTTTATTACATTATTTTAAGGCTATTATAACGTTAAATATTCTTATTTTTGCTTCCATCTGTTACTAAAGCTCCATATATCATTTCTGAACATTATTAATTTTCACTTAACTTAGATTTAAATATTGAATTTTTAACTTGGGCTCCAGGAAAAAATCCTGAAAAATAAAGATCAGCATCTAGCATCCTTTTCCTAATCTTTCACCACAGATTCTCAATTTGATAGGACTTATCATGAAATCTGTATTGGGAAGTATAGCTTTTTAAGATAACTTTTTGTAACTAAAAAATAATTTCCTGCGCATCACAAGGGGGATTAAAAATCACCGAAGTACCAAAGGAACGTGTGCTTTGATTATTATTCCCACCTGTTTCTTTTTTATTATAAAGTGGCAATTTGTACTATCATTAGAAATATACATTAATGTATAAAGTTTTGCATTCAAGTCTCTTTATTTTTGACTATGTATGACTAAAGACCACAAATCAAATAAAAACTCTATATAATATATCCTTATTTCAGAAGCATATGTATATATACACATATATATTTGTAGAACAATCCACTGTTTTAAATGTAATTTTGACTTAAAAAATGCTATTTACAATTTTATGACAGAGAAATAACCTCAGCCTTTCATGGTATTAAAATGAGCAGGGAATTTTTATGTTTGCGTCTCATCTTGCAGATGAAATTAAGCAATATCATGGAAAACCTTCTCAAGAGCAAGGCCTTGTAGACTAAGGTATGAGGGTGAAATAGATTTGCTATTTCTGGGTCTATGTTTTAAAAAAATTACTGGCAATGTAGTCATACTTACTTCTTCACCAAGAAATCAATGCTCCCAAATTAGGAATTCCAAACTTCTCAGTATGCAACCTTTAAGTCTTTCCTTGTCCTTACTCTTGTCTTAATACTCTCATCTCCCACTGGTGACACTGCAGGATCACCAATCTAGATATTAGATTGTTGTTATTTTATTAAACAGAAGAGTCTTAGTTCTTTTAAACCAGCTTTCTGAATTAGAATGAGGCCCATAAAGCATCACATTGCATTACATTGATATCTCTTTATTGCACCAATCCATAATGGCTAAAAATATGCTATTAAATTTGTATGTAAATTTCAAAGCCAAAACTATTATTATGAGAATAGGATGGCTTGCTGCCCTCCAATTTGCAGAAGCACAAAAGTCTCTGAATTAGCAAATGGAACTTCAGCTCCACTTGTTTCTATACTTTATTCTCCGAGCTTACAAATCAAGTAAGGTATATTGACCAGAAAGCTATTTTGTGAGATGCTCAAAAGTTTTGTTTTCATTCTTAAGCTCGTTGATTTTGACACATATTCCAATAAGAACTCAGGATAAACATATCTTAATTTATATCTGCACAGCCAATTGCAAAGCATTACTAAAAGTCATATTTTTCCTGGGAAAAATCCCAATGCAACTCAAAAAATAAAACTTATTTTACTTAAAAAGGAATAGGTGATGAATGAATTGAAGACCCAGAAATCAGAACAATGAAAATCAAAGAAGTATTATACTTGAAATATGCCTGAAAACCAAAGTACTTAAACTCAATCATATTTTTGGATGAAGTTGGATATTATATGTTTACACATGGTAATATTTTTAAAAACTCAGTGACTACTGGCTTATTCTATTAAAGGTTTTATGTACTTAAGACATAAGCAGCAGTTAAGCTAACAGTGACCCTTTGCTGTAAGCTACATTTTTTTGTCAGGTTTATGTATAAAAGAAACAAGGTTTCCAATTAATTCTCTGAACTAAACTGGAAATAAGACAAAGCTAATTTCCAAAACATTTTACTGCAGTGAACATTTGCTTAACATAATACAGAGAAAAACAATATACAAATTGGGTGGTTAGAATTCTTTCTTAACTGCTATCAGAAGGAGATAAATGTGAGTCTAGATGATAAATGATGAATAGCCACTGAAAATAGAGGGAGGACTTTTGTTAGTGATTCATATCTCTATTTTTTTCATATCCAACTTAAATATATTTTGTCATGAAATCACCATTGTGATTGATTTTTTATGAATTTCATCAATTGTATTATTTGTGAAACCATCAATTGTTTCACTGATGAATGTGTATCTGTGTGTATCACCACAAAAGCTCAAGTCATTTCATGCTAAAAGAGCCAGTGTCCCATAGTGTTGAGGTTTCTTTTTAATTTTTTTCAAATAAAATAAACTTTGTGCTTGGGATTTTTTTCTTTTTTCTTTTTTTTTGGTTCTAGTAGTGACAGGTGTATTTATAATCAAGTTGAATCAAGAGTGACAAGAAGAAATACAGCTAGAGTTATATTTTTTTCCCCAAGGGTATTCTTTTCCTAGAAGAGCAAGTCCATTTTTAGAAAATTTAAATGTCTGTCTTTGTTACTTTCCAAATATTTTGGTTAAACAAATATCTCTTACAAATGTATCTTCAAAATCTTTGCCTAGATGCATAACATTTGTTCTTCCCAACTGCTTAGGTAAATTGCTTCATTTCATTTTCTGCTAACCTCTAGATAACATAAATAGGATACTTGGTGAAGGATATGATCCACTATTGAAGAATGATGATTGTGTAAAGTGAGGGAAACTATGTTGACCTTGAAATACGGCAACCAATGGCAAGGTTTGAGGTGAGGGCCTAGAGCTTCTGCAAAGTGTATATATTTAGGGAGTCGTATTTGGAACAATACATGCTGGACAGTAGAGATATAGGAGAAGTTACATGCTATGTCTTCTCATTGGTAATATCCATAAATCTGCATACATTTTTTAACATTCTGTTTTGTGTGGTTTTTTTCTTTAAATTTGGATGTCTCTACACCACTCTTGATTTGTAGGACTAAATAGATCTATTTATTCCAATGCAAATGATATAACATTTATTGCTTCCTTGATTTTTAAAAATACTTTAGTATTCTTAACTATGTATGTGCCTTCTCTTACACTGAGTTCTATTTTGCTACTTTAAGCTGCTCACACAATCCTGTCTGCTGGAGTCATAGCTGCTAATTCCATATTATTTCTCTACACCCCTTGAAAATTTAGTGTATTACTGGTACCTTTCTGTGTTCTAGGAAACAAACGAATTGCAAACTAGACTTGTAAATGAGGGTGTGTGTGTGTGTGTGTGTGTGTGTGTGTATGTGTGTGTGTAGCAACAAATTAGCTACTGGCTTCACAAGATAGTAAGTTAGGAATTTCACAGTCATGTCTCCAAATTTCATGGCAGAGTTTAAAAAACAATATAAGACTGTGGTAAGGTACAAAGGCAAATGCAATTTGCATTGACTAATTTCCTAGGACTTATTTCCTTATGTAAAACCCCTCTTCTTTCTTTCCTGTTGCAAGACAGGATACAAAGCTTTCTAAAACATGCACTTATACTCAAAGGTGTCCACAAAGCAAAAAATCAGACCAAATGCTAACAGCAAGTAACTTATATCTTACCACCTAGACATGGCACTGGCAAAGAATTCCCAAAAGTCACTTCAGCATTAGAACAGTAACTTTTTTTCCTAAATTACTGAAAAAAAAAAAACCCCAAAAACCAAAAAACAAAAAACTTCTGAAATAATATCTTTGATAAAAATATTATACTCTAGGATAATTTGAAATTATTTTTACGAAATAATTAAATTCGTTAAGGCTATTCAATACAAGACTTTCCTTTTACATAAGAAAATCTTAAATTACATCTCAAAAATAATTTCTTACTCTTTTCTTGATGATAAATGGTTCCTGGCTATATATTTTACAGGTATTAGAATAGTTTATAATTTGGAAATGTTCAATTCCATGGTTACAAAAAAATCCTGCAAACAGAATGTAATGGTGTGTCAATTCCAGATGCCCAAATAAAATACAAAATCAAGCAAAACCACACATCGCAGCATTATCATGAGTTTAAGCTATTTAGTATATAATATCAGTTTGTGAGTTCAGTTCTCCAAAACCCTTTCCTTTAAAGTAATAACTTTATTTCATCTTTATTAATGTCTTCATTACAATTAGCCTTCTACGCATAACAATACAGTTTTATTTAATGTTTGTGGAGTTCTGATTTTAGTTTTTCCTTTGCTTTTAAGTGTGTTAAACTTTGTGCATGTGAATTTTCTACCACATTGCAACAAGCAAGCTTTGGTTCAATTTTCTTGTCCTACACAAAGGCAGATTTTGAGTGCAGAATCTTAGCCACTAGGTCTTGCGTTGCCATTTTATTTTCCTCTCCTTGGGTGGATTTACTGGAAGGAAATGGGTAAATGGGAGGGAAGAGAAGGGGAAGGGATGAGAGAGGGAAGCAGGGGAGAGTTCTCAGCTATGTTGAATCTTGATTCACAACTTTGCCTCCATTCATGGTTGGTGTTCCAGAACTTTTCCTTGAACGCCCTTGTTTTTCTCCAATTTCATGTAGTGATGGTTCTCTGTACATACACACTGAAAGGCAAAATAACAAAAATTACTTACGATAGTGGACATAAATTTGCTTCAATAAGCTTTTCAAATTTGATTTTACAATATTCTTCACTCTCATCACAAGCTCTTCTTCCCATTATAAAAAACAGTTTTAACTTGACAACATATTCAGTGGATACACATAATTTTCTTCCAGTTCTTTTAGTCATAAACTTTTAAACTTTTCTTGAACTATAGACATTTAAGTTGTTTCTGTTCTCTCATAGACAAGGCTTGAATCTTTACAGTTTCCTAACCTAGAAAACAGGATTTTCATCCAGAGTCAGAGGAGACATGGGAAATATTCCACTTTTTGGTCCTTAATCTGCAGTCTAATTTGGGTTGGTAAAAAAGTATTTATTTACGTGTTCCTAATCTTTACCCTACCATAGGAAATATGATGCCGTATCAAACCGAAATATGTATTGCCATTTCCAGGGCATCCTATGTAAAAAAATAAGGGAGGACAAAGAAAAGGAAAAAAGAAGAAGCAATTTCCCCGACTGCCCTAGATTTACCCAAAGTAAGAAACACAGTCCGTGACTTTTTAGTTATTCATCAATAGGGAATGTGATTATGCAAGCATGAGACTTCCGTTCACATCTATATAAACGGTTCTTTTCTCCTCTATTGTTTTGTCTGGCTGTAAATTTCAGTCATCTCTGAGCCATCACGGCTGTTCCTAGATAATTGTTTAGGAAGAACAATGCTTTCAAATTATAGTTATTCCTACAAAACACATTAATTCAGCTTCATTATACTGTTGTGAAATAGACAAATGTGACTAGATAAGAGTATACGATATGTCTCATGAAAATATCAGGAGTTACTTTTATCCTCGGCTTAGGAACAAACAGGTATCTCCACCTATTGAATCATCATTACAAAGGTTTAATCATTTGAATGTTACTTCCAACATCAAAGAGCCTCCTCCCTTGAACTTTGCGTGGTTACCGATTTGGGAACCACGCGACCTGGATCCACACCCAGACTCAGCCATCTACTAGCCTTGTTAAGTTGGACACATTTTCATAAATGAAAAATAGCATGTTTATGAAGATTAAATGCCTTGCATAGAGCAAGTACCAAAAAATGTTTATGAAACGTAAGGAGCTGATTTCTTTATGAGCATTTTGAATAACAGATCTTCAGAGAATATAGAAATAAATTGTTTTGGCTGAAAGTATTCTAAATCCAAAACTAGACTAAAACAGAATTTAGAGTACAAGTGAGAGTGTCCTGAGACTGGTGAGGAGACAGATTTCTTCCAACATATTCAATTATAGAACTTCTTAAATGTTACTGTACATGCGAATCACCTAGGAATACTGTTAAAATGCAGATTATGAATCAGAAGGATTGTAGTGAGCTTGAGTCTCCATTTTCAATAAGATCGCAGGTGATGTTGATGCTGATAAAACCCAGACTACACTATGAGTAGCAGAAAATATATGTATAAAATATGTGTGCTAAGGCTGTTATGCAAATTAGCCAGATATATTTTAATGAGATTTTAAAGTATTTCAATTACTGCACTGATGGCTCTTCCAGCATCCCCAAAGGACTAAATGCCTTTGGCTGAAGTAACAGAGTATACATAGGAAACCAGCTCAGAGAGTAGATAATTTTCAAATGATACAAGTCAGTCATTCAAGTTTGTCTTTCTTTTTCTTGTTTTGTTTCAATAAATAGAAGATCCTTATGGAAAATCTTGCCAGAATCTTGAAGTTCCCTAAGTCCAATGGCTCTTACCTCTCTTTCTATTATAAAAATAATTAAAAACTCCAAAATTAAGTCATAGTTTTTTATTTGTGCAAAATACAACCATTTACATATAACTGCACAGGGAACATCAAGAAGCAACGAAGTGATTCAGCTGGAACGCTATTCATATGACACCATAAAATAGGTCTTCCCAACTCTGTCACCTAATCAGCTCTGAAAACTCAAACATCTGCAGGCCGCACTACAGATTGCTAAATCAGAATCTCAAAGAATTTACAAAAATCTCCTTTCTAAAAAATAATATATTTTGACCTGCAAATTCTTAAGCTTCATTTGGGGATACTTGAAGAATAAATTTTTAAATTTTCATTAAAGTGTGTATTTTTATCTTTTTTTTTTATTTTTTTTGAGACGGAGTCTCGCTCTTCGCCCAGGCTGGAGTGCAGTGGCCGGATCTCAGTTCACTGCAAGCTCCGCCTCCCGGGTTCACGCCATTCTCCTGCCTCAGCCTCCTGAGCAGCTGGGACTACAGGTGCCGCCACCTCGCCCGGCTAGTTTTTTGTATTTTTAGTAGAGACGGGGTTTCACCGTGTTAGCCAGGATGGTCTCGATCTCCTGACCTCGTGATCCGCCCATCTCGGCCTCCCAAAATGCTGGGATTACAGGCTTGAGCCGCCGCGCCCGGCCATTTTTATCATTTTTTAAGCTGAGTTTCTTAGAGTTGCAATTTCCTTTTTAGTTTTCTTATGCCACAGATTCTACCCAAAACATTCACTTGTATCTTTTTTTTTTTCTTTCTCACTTGCACATAAAATACTTCATTTGTGTCAGCACACAATGTTACTATTATAATTACCACTGCAGATAACTTCTCCAGTAATTTAACCCTGCGGGCCATCCTTATATTGAGAGGTATTGCAAACTGACATCTGAAAACATACAGTGTTTCAAAAAGACCCAAACTCACCAGTGCCACCGCAAGATGTAAAATTTGCTCTTTTTCTCATACAACTCAATTTCTAATTTCCCAATCTTTGCACTAAATGGAGTAATAAAATTAAGGGTTTTGAAAACCTAGTTCATGTCCCAGTTAGAAAACGACAAGTAAAGGGTAGGTTTTCCAGTTCACCGATGAAGACTGGCCTCCTCCTCAATAAATCAAATAGGTATTTTAATTTCTATACTTCTTGGTTAGCCAAGATAAAAAGATGTTCAGAGAAAGCAAACTAAAGTTATTCTAGAAATTGCATGCAAATACAAGTACAGAGAGCAAAACCTTGGTCAAAGCAATAGATTAAATGTAATTTCTTGAGCATTAATTTTCATTGTTATTTACAGGACCTAGGATTCAGTAATATATCTGATTTAAGAAGCTGACAAATAAAGGGGAATAAGTTTCAATCAAATTTCTGAATTACAATGTAATTAAAAGACCATAATCCAATTAGAAAGCCAAGAAAGAAGAAAGTACCTCCCTTCAGTAATATAACTGACTTACTACCATCCATAGTTGCATTACACTTAATGACTGCGATTCTGAATGTACATGGTAAATAATGAAACAAAATTGAGGAAGAAAACAAGGCTTAAGTGTTCTCTAAAGTGGATTACATGTGCAAAATGTAAACGAAAATCACCATGACGTATATAGCAGCCTCAATGATAAGTCCTTGAATAAATCTATCATTTCAGAGTATTCCAAGCAATTTTAAATTGATTAACTAAATTTTACGATTATAACAACCCAGTGAATATAGTAGGTGAGAAATTATCACCCTCATTTTTTAAATATAAAAGAAATTAAGCCACTTCCATAAAGTCGGATAGTGGGTAGTGGCAGGGCCAGGATGAATGTGTAGAGTTTCAAGGTCCTAGTTAAGAGTTTTGAATAAAATCAGAAATACCATAATTTATTCAATAAACAATGTAAAATGACTGACATATCAGTGTTTGAATTCTTACGTCTGCATGTTAATCAAGATTTAAGTTGGCCTTAACTTCACTAAATATTCCTAAAGTCATTCGGAAATGGTAATAAAAGAAAATGTACGGCTGTTATAAAAAAACCAAAAAAGAAAGTAACAAGAGTTGGTGAGTATGTGGAGAAATTGAAACCCTTATGCATTTCTACTTCAGTGTAAATTGGTGCAGCCACTGTGGAAAATGAAATGGTGACTCCTCAAAAAATTAAATATGGATGTACCATATGATCCATCAATTCCACCTGTAGGTGTCCACTCAAAATAAATGAAAGCAGGGACCCCAGCATCTATCTGTACCTCCATGTCCGTAGAAGGATTATTCACTCTAGCCAAAAGATGGAAGCACCAAAATGTCCATTGACAAACGAAGGGGTAAATATAATGAGGCCTATACATATAATGAAATATTATTCAGCCTTAAAAACAAAATTCTGACAAGTACCACAACATGCATGAACCTTGAAGAAACTGTGCTGGGTGAAATAAGCCAGTTACCAGGGGCCACATACTGCGTGATTCCACTTCTGTGAGATCCCTAGAGTAGTCAAGTTCACAGAGGCAGAAAATAGAACAGTATTTGGCAGGGGCTGGGGGAGAATGGGGATTTCACGTTTAACGAGCACAGAGTTTCAGCTGGGGAAGATGAGAAAGTTCTGGAGTTGGACGATGGTGATGTTTGCACACCAATGTGAATGTACTTAACGGCAATGAAATATATACTTAAAAATGATTAAAATGGTAAATTTCGTATTATCATATTTTACCACAAATAAAAAGCAAACACACAAACAACTTGTCCTGAATTGTCCTGAGTATAAGGTATAAGAAATGACTATTAAAGCCAGAGGTGCTCTATTGGCATAGGAAGAACCAGCAATTCCCCAAAAATCAAAAACCTTAGTTTTAGAACTGTATTAAGGAAGAGAGAGTTGAGATATAATTGAGGAGGTACAGGGTGAGGAAAAGGATAGAGGAATCTGATGAAAATACTCAAGGACTGTGCTGCGTAGTGTAGCATCCATTTAGCCATATGTGGCCACTGAGCACATACAATGTAGCTAGTCCTAATTCAGATGTGCTGTAAGTGCAAAAATAAACACTACCAGACTGGGTAAAACAGGGAGGTGATGACGAATAAGAAGGATAAGGCTAGTTGGTGTCAGACCTTGCTGAATTCCAGGCCAGAAAATTTAAACCATGACCATCATATAGATCAGCCTCAAGGTGATGGTAAATGAAGAGTTATTATACTTAGCTAATTAAGTGATATAATAG